CTGCACTCCAGTCTGGGTGACCGAGTGAGACTCCAACTCAAAAAAAAAAAAAAAAGAATAACTATGCATGACCATCACAACAAATGAGAAGACTGGAGTGACTGGAGGGCTGACCTGCAAGTCAAGATATTTGTCCTCTCTTCTAGTTCTGCCACAGTAAGTTCTCTGAGAAAGAGGAAAGGATAAGAAATCTCGAATTGTATTTTAAATAGGAGAGTTCTCCATAAACTGAATTTCACGAGGATCACAACAAAATCACATCCTCAACTTCTATTTGTAGTCCTCATTTGTCAAAATGCAGGTAATTTATCTTTCCATTTGATTTCAAGAAGTCAAGAAGGATGAGAACCGAGAAAAGGTCATGGTTAACTTTACTGATTTGCTTTCATAAATAGATGCTTACAATATTTTCCTAATTTATGTTCTTTCCTCACAACTGAAAATATGGTTCACAAACCAGCATTATCGGCATTACTTGGGAGAAATGCAGAATCTGGGCAATACCCCACACCTAGGGAATCAGAATCTGCATTTTAACAATATCCGCAAGTAACTGTCATGCCCTTCAACAGTTGAGAAACACTGTTTAGAATAAAGGAATTGAAGGGGAAAGAACCAGCACGAATAAAAAGACCTGTGGGTTTTACCTCATAGGCATCCTTGATGTAAGGAAAAGCCACACCAACTTGAGGATTAGCTCTTCTGTCATAAGCATATCGAATTATGGCCACCATGTCTAACTCCTCCAAAGCATGAACCAGGGAGGAAAATGCAACTGCTGCTGCCTAATAAGGAAGACAAATGTATTAGCACATATCCAACATTTGAATTTTCACAACAGAACTAAATACCTGTAAGACGATTACTCACTCTCCTCCCATTCCAGATTTTTTTAAAGTGCTCCTTGCCTACTTCAAGGCCAAGCTGTACACATTTGCTTTGGATTGCATTTACTGTACCTCTTCTGAGCTTAATGTATTAACTAAATCCTTCGTCTTCTTCCTTCAACCTTCCTTCTCTGAATTCATACCCTCACCCAAGTCTCAGTCTCCCTAAATAAAATCTTTCTTTATCCTTCTCGCTCCATAAATTGCTATCTGTAACTTTCCTTCTCTTCACCTCAAAATGTCATGAAATAATAGTCTTGCTGTTTCCACTGTGTACAGCACAATTATTCTTCAATCCTATCTAGCTACTGCCCCACTTCCTTGCTGAAATTATCCTCTGATGCCGCCCGTGACCTCCTAATTGCCAACGCCTTGGTTCCCACTGTATTTGTCCAACAGCAGCATTGGCCCATTTGCCTGCTCTACACTTTCCCCACCTTGGCTTCAGAAGCAGAAATCTCCCTGATTATTCCAGTTTGTGGGCCGCTCTTCCCCAAGCGCTTCTCTCCTCGCGAGTGATTCTTAAACTCTACTTTTGGTTTTGCCTCCTCCTCTCATTCTAAAACTCTACTCGGGGTTTAGTTCATCCAGTCCCAAGAGTCAATGAATCAAAAATCTGTATATTGAGCTTTAAAATTCTTCTAGGATCCAGACTAGGTTACCCACTAGCAGATAGGTATCTCATATGATATCTCACATGGCATCTTCAGGTACCTAAAAGTATCCATGACCCTAAACTTACTATCTTCCCCCCTTATTCTCCTCCTCAATTCCCTATTTCCATGAAGACCACCACCCAACCAACCTAGAAGCCCCAAAGTCACCTTTTTCATCTCTCACCTTCAAGTGTACACCTAACTCTACCAATTCTACCTCTATACTATCTCTCAAATCCATCTCTCCAGAACTCCCTCCCCTGTTCACAGAGCTCATCATGTCTTTCCTTTCCATAAAAACCTACAGCAGTTTCTCTATCCCAGCCACACTGAACTGATCATTGCTTGGAGGCAGGTCTTGCATTTTTCCTGTATTGCAGCTTTTGTGCATACCATTTCCTCTAAGTTAGAATGTCCCCTATAAATCTCTGGATCTCTAGTTTTTAATTCTTTTTTTTTGGTCAGAGTCTCATTCTGTCGCCCAGGCTGGAGTGCAGTGGCACAATCACCGTTACCACAGCCTCAACCTGCTGGGCTCAGGCGATCCTTCTTCCTTGGTCTTCCAAGTAGCTAGGGTTACAGGCACGGCCCCATGCCCAGCCAATATTTTGATTCACTGGAGAGGTGAGGTCTTGCCATGTTGCCCAGGCTGGTCTCAAACTCCCAGGCTCGCCTCTCCCCTTGGCCTCCCAAAATGCTGGGATTATAGATGAGCCACTGCCCCGGCCTCGTTTTTTACTTTTTCAAGGCTCACTCAATTGACTCCCTTTTCATTTCGGATGTATCTTGTTTAGCTCTTCCCTCTGCAGAACTCCCCAAATACTATGTACTTTTCTCAGTTTCAAAGCTAACCTGTATGAAAGTTAACTACATATATTCCCACTTGTTCCACTAAAAATACTATGACCTCAATATCTTGCCATCAAAACCCTCTACAGGTTTCTTAATAGAATCATTACTTCTTCAGTTCAAGTGCCTGTTCTTGGCAAAGTACTGACTTAGGCCCTGTGAGAAAACAAAGATGAGCCCCTGGTCTCACTGAGCTAATACATTTTTCACCAGCGGAAATGAGATATGTACCAAATACAGAACATGTGTGTTCTATAATAGTAAGTCCCATGAGAGAGGACTAGATAAGCACAATGGGAGTCTTAGGAAATGATTACTACCAATTTGTTTGTAAGTTTTTTATTTGTGTATCTTGCAGGACCAATTAGAATACTTAAAGGAAGGAAGGATGGGGTCATGAATGACTGACTGCTACATTATAACACAATACCACACCTGTGCAAAACTCAACTAAAGCCCCGTTTCCTTCCCTTTCTGTTCTCCCTTTCCCTTCCACATGCAGTACAAATCAGCACAGAAAAGTGTAAATCCTCAATACACAAAATAATTATATGCTAATAACCAAAAAGCCACATCTAAATGAAATATCCACAGAATCACAAAATATTTGAGCTCAAAACCAACAATATTCATCCAGTTTAACGACTCATACGTGCATCTGACTGATGGTAGTAACAACTCCGCTTGTAAACTTACTGGGAGGGGGATCTGACCATCTTACAAGAAAATTGTCCATTCAAAAATAGTAATACTTGACAAAATAATTCTTCATTCTGAACAGAAACCACCACCTGCTGGTTCCAGTTCACCCCTCTGATATGAAGCAGAGTTTAATTTCTACTTCACACAATAACCCTCTAGATGTATAAAGAATACCATTATGTCTGGCATCCCTCCCACTCGCCCACCTATCTAACCAAGTCTTCTCCATGCAGTTTTTTACTGGAAATCTTCATAATGGCATAGCTTCCTTATGCCCTTGCTTATCTCATAAGCTCCAATTAGGTAACATCATTGGCTATGACATCAAAAACTGACACCAAAGACTAGCCCATTGCCCTCACTTAAATATTTTTTCCTTGAGTGGCCTGAAAGCAACTTTACAATATATATAAACCCGTGTCTGTATGAGACCAGATTTGAATTACATGATTCATAAGGTTACCCTCCGTCAGCAAGTGTAGAAAATTGCCCAAAACATGTGTCTCTAAAAAGCTTTGTGATATAATACTTCTTACTGCACACCACCAACTATTATGGAGTGATCAGACTGTTCTCTGTGATAAGAAATAAATGGGAGTTAAAACTTTAGCAAAAGCCGGGCTCAGTGGCTCAGCCTGTGATCCCGTGCCTTTGGGAGGCTGAGGTGAGTGGATTGCCTGAGCCCGCGGATTCGAGACCCGCCTGGGCAGCGAGACCTCATCTCTACAATAAATGAAAAAATCAGCCGGGTGTGGTAGCGCGCGCCTGTAATTCCGGCTACTCGGAAGGCTGAGGCGGAAGGATCGCCGGAGCCCAGCAGGCGAGGCTGTGGTGGCCAGGAGCGGCCACTGCACTCCAGTCTGGGCGA